TGGCCTTTTTCCTTTGCTGCTCTTAATATTCTTTCTTTATTCTGTATGTTTAGTGATTTCATCATTATATGGCAAGGGGACTTTTTTGGGGGGTCTAGTCTATTTTGTGTTCGGTAAGCTTCTTGTATCTTCATAGGTATTTTCTTCTTTTAGTTGCTAAAGTTTTCTTGTATGATTTTCTTGAATATATTTTCTGTGCCTTTGAGTTAGTATTCTCCTCCTTCTTCTGTTCCTGTTATTCTTTGGTTTGGCCTTTTCGTGGTGTCCCAGATTTCCTGGATGTTTCGTGTTATGACATGTTTGGCTTTAGTGTTTTCTTTGACTGACAGATCAATTTCCTCTATTGTATCCTCCACACCAGAGATTTTCTCTTCCATCTCTTGTATTCTGTTGATTATACTTGTGTCTGTAGTTCCTTTTCAGTTACTCAGATTTTCTAGTTACTCAGATTTTCTATTTTGAGCATTCCCTCCGTTTGTGTCTTCATTTTTCTATTTCAATTTTCAGGACTTGAACTGTTTCTTTCACCTGTTTAATTGCTTTTTCTTGGTTTTCTTGGTTTGCTTTAATGGATTTATTGATTTCTTGCGATTTTTTTTCTCTGTCTTTTCCTCAATTTCTTTAAGGGAATTTTTCATTTCCTCTTTAAAGGCCTCTATCTAGCTGGGCGGCGGTGGCGCATGCCTTTAATCCCAGCACTCGGGAGGCAGAGGCAGGCGGATCTCTGTGAGTTCGAGGCCAGCCTGGGCTATCAAGTGAGTTCCAGGAAAGGCGCAAAGCTACACAGAGAAACCCTGTCTCGAAAAACCAAAAAGAAAAAAAAAAGGCCTCTATCATCTTCATAAAATTATTTTTAAGGTTGCTTTCTTCTGCTTCTTCTATGTTGTGATGTTCAGGTCTTTCTGTTGTAGAACTTTTAGGTTCTGGTGGTACCATATTGCTCTTTATGTTGTTGTATGTATTTATTCACTGGTGTCTATCCATCTCTTTCTCCAATAGGTGCAAGAGGTGTCTGAGGGAGCTGCTCTTGGTCCAATCTGTGCTTGCTGTGTCTGTGTCTGAGGGGGCCACTCTCGGTCCAGGCAGAGCTCTTGGTCTAATTGGAGCTGGTGGATTCTGTGTCTCAGGGAGTAGCTGAGGTTGTAGGGGTTGGGTGGGTTTGTGGTAGGGAGTAGGTCTTGTAGATTGCAAGGACCAGTGGGGGTGTTGGTGGGGCTGCCTGCCTGCAGGAGTCTTCTCTGCTGGCTTGCAACCGGGACAGCAATGGGTGGGAGTGGGGAGCACAGATTGTGCCTCAGGGCCTAGGTCATAGAGGCAGGACTGTCTGCGTGGGAGAAGAGCCACTCACCTCTTGGTCCAATCAGAGCTGGCAGATTCTGTGTCTCAGGGAGCCACTGAAGTTGCAGGAGGATGGGTGGCCTTGGGGTAAGGAGTGGATCTTGGAGATTGCAGGGTCCCATGGGGGGTGTTGGTCGGGAGGCCTTCTGCAGGAGTCTTCCCTGCTGGCCTGCAGCTGGGGCAGCACTGGGTGGGGTGGCGGGGCATGGATTCTGTCCCCGGACCTGGGTCCAGAGACAGGACTCTCGGGGTGGAGAAGAGTCACTCGCCTTTTCTAGCAGAACTTCTTAAAGGAGCTGTATCCTTTTTTTTAAGCTTTATCAGGCCCTATGGAAATTCAAGAGCCTAACACTGATACATGTATATGTATGTATGTATGTATGTGTGTGTATATATATATATATATATATATATATATATATATATATATACACACACACATTTTTTTTTCTTTTTGCTCTTCACTCTTTTTGGGCCCACCACGCAGCTCTCAAATAAATCACACAGAGACTTATTCTTTCTTATGAATGCCCAGCCTTATCTTGGCTTGTTTCTTGCCAGCTTCTTAATTTATCCCAGCTACCTTTTGTCTCTGGCCTTTTACTTATCTCTATTTCTGCATACCTTTTCTTTCCTTCTTACTCAGTTTCTCGCTGTGTGCCTACCTCCTCCTTTTCTCACTCCTTCATTTTTCATTCCCACATTCTCCTCCTATTTATTCCCTGCCTGACAGCCCTGCCTATTATTTTTCCTGCCTTGCTATTGGACGTTCAGCTCTTGATTAGACCAATCAGGTGTTGTAGACAGGCAAAGTAACACAGCTTCACAGAGTTAAACAAATGCAACATAAAAGAATGCAACACATCTTTGCATCATTAAACAAATGTTCCACAGCAGAAACAGATGGAACACACCTTAAATTATTCCACAATGGACATCCATCTTGCACCCTCCCTAGTTACATTCCTTTTGCTGTGATAAAACACTATAACCAAGGAAACTCACAGAAGGAAACGGTTCTTTGGGTTTATGAGTCCAGAAGGTTGAGTTGATCATAGTGGAAACACAGGAAAAGTGGAGGCATCAAAGATGGAGGCTAGACCAGGATACTGAGTGCTCACCTCTGGAGCAGCAGGAAGCCGAGAGAATGAACTGGAAGATGTGTGAAGATACTAGCTCTGAATTTCCATCTCTAATAAACTACTTCTCCCTAATCCTCCCCAAGCAAAACTACCAATTTGGGACTAAGCTCAAATGCCAGAGATTATGGGGGGTATTTCTTCCTTAAATCACAACAACACTCATCCCCCCAAGGTTCAGAGATCATCATAGAGGAGACAGTGGGGACATTGCAAGAACCAAAGGTAGTGGATAATTACAGAGAAGCTCTTCTCCAGACACAACAAGGCAGTTGTGCATGTGAAAAGACAGTGGTTCTAACTACATGCACAAGACCAGCACAAGATCAAGCCAGACAAAATCCCAGCTTGCAGGGAAGAGACAATCAGGAAGTCCCACTGCTAGGTATGGAAATTTAACAGGTTTCTGGTGGCTGTTTGGAGATGGAAATTTCTTTCCTTTAGGGATGTGGCCATGCACCTAATGGCAGCAGTAACTGAATGTGCTGGATGAAATGAGAAATGTCTCCCGTAAGCTCAGGCACTTGGACACTCGATCCCCCTTTTGTAGTGGTGTTTGGGAAGGTGTAGTAGGTTATGGCCATCCTGGAAGAAGTATGTTACTGAAGGCAGGCTTTGAGATTATGTAACCTTGCTCTACTTCCAAAATGGTCCCCTTCTTTGTGCTCATAGTAAAGGATGTGAGCTCTCAGCTTCCTACTTATACCGTTCCTGACACTTGCTGCCATACCGCCCTACCTTGAAGGACTCTCTTTCATTTAAAAGCATACGCCTCAATAAACTATTCCTTGTATAAAATGCCTTGACCATGGTTTTTATCATAGCAACAGGAAAGTAGCTAATACAGTGGATTTCATGGATTTAACAAAAGGAACACATAAAATATAGGAGTGGTAGTGGTAGAGGGATAGAGGAGTAATTAGAAGGGAGAAAATGAGGATTGGACTTGTTCAAAACACATTATATGCATGTATGAAAATCTCAGTCAACAAAAAAATTATACACATTACAGATAATACAATTGGCACTTCTTATTCTCCGATTTTTGGCTTTTTTTTTTTTTAACTTAAACTCACCCATCAGTTAAGAATTAAGAAACTAGGTAACTTCAGTCATCGGAAGTTAGGCTTCTGATTGGATTCAAGACCCATGAACCCATATCTTGGGGTGTCATAGGCCCTAGGGAAGAACATAGTACTATTATTTTTTAGCTAAATGGATATAGTAGTAAGCAACTCCCACACAAACCACAGCATACATGTTTGGTCAGTATTCAGTTGTGATAAAAATTGTAATCCTATCATAAGCAAAATGGACATGATTAGAAATTGTTACATAAGGTACAATTAAAAGACCTAATTGTATACATTAGCTTTAATTTGTAAATTAAAATTAGAACATTTTACTTAAACCATGTGCATTCATTCACTTACCAACTTATGTATGTTTATTAGAGGTATTTATGTAGTCATTTAACAGCGTGATTTCTTAGGACTCCTTCAGACATCCTTACTGCTGTTTTACCCTCCTTTTGTATTTCTCTCCCTCGCTGTCTGTCTATTCCATGGCCTCCTTCAGATCACGTGTAACCTGATCCTGCTGCCCTCATTACTCTCACCATTAACCCTGCAGTGGTCCCTTTCATCTCACTGGTTTCTTGGTTCTCAGCAAAATTAAGTTGGCTTGTCCTGTTATCAAGTAACATAATCAAGTTATTTCCTCAAAGACAATCTCAGATTAATCTTAATTTATACAATTCCTCATAGGTGTGCTGAGTGGCTTGCCTAAGTGTTGATTAATTAATACTGACTATCATACTAGGTATTATAAAGCATGCCTTATGTTTACATTTTAATTTTCAGAACAATTCTCTGTAGTAGGGACAGTATTTCTATTGTATTAAAATGCATATGTGGATATCCGGTTTCTGTGGTTGCCCAAAGACCATAGAAATAGTTTTAAAGGAATCACCATAAACATTTGAGAAAATTTCCCTAACATTGAATAACTCAAGATTCGCATCTTTCCAATAGTTACCTTGTTTAAACTAGTTGAGAATTAAAATTTTGTGTCATTAAATATTTATCACAGTACCTGAAATGTAATAAAATAACAATATTAAAAGTTGTGAACTATAATGAAAGCAGTGAACTTTCATACGAGTAATTTCTTGCATATATTAGTAAGGCAAGAATAACACCAGGTTATTTGGCTTCTGGAATATTTCAGTTATATTCAACATAAACCCTTGATTTACTTTTCGCATTGTATTATAATTTTTGAATGAGACATGAAGTTTGAAAACATTGCATAAGTAAGATTCTTGTTGTGCTTGCCAGAGTTACCTGAATATTCCTCAAATTTGTACTGAAATTTACCCATAGAGATGAGCATCTTCTCATTCTCAAGGGGATACATTATAGTTAGAGGCATTTGGTTGTCCCTCCCTGTTAGTCATTGTTAGCACTCTCTGAATTCTTGCCCTTTCTCTAAAACGAGCTCTCACCTACTACCTCTCACTAGCATTTTCTCAACATAAAGTTAAGTGTTTGAAGTAAAGGGGAAGATGTTTGAGGCAGGATATCATTTGACAAATGATAAACAGAGAAAAACTGGAAGACTACCAGAATGAACATAAAATACAGGACCGTATGAAGCAACAAAAAGAAAGGAAAGTAAGTGAAACAAATAAATATAAAGCATGAAGAAGGGTTATATATAAGGGAACAGCTAAGATAATAGAGGTGAAACACAAATGTTTGGAAAACAGAAATATTAAATAGATCACCTGTATAGAAGAAAATTTAGCATTTATATCCAGCTAGTTAATTTTTCTAAGGTTAGAAAACTTTAGAGAAGCAAAACATTAAATTTACACATTTCGTCTTTTATTACATTTTAACTTCTAGGAAGTGTAAGAGACATAGAACAAGAAAAACATACAGATATGAACATTAACTGTAAGTTCATGGGAAGCTGTGTATAGCACTTTTACTTGGAAGAGATTATTTAAAAATCTAGATTTTTGATGTCAGAAAAAATTTTCAAATGACAAAATTGATATTGTATATAAAATCATAAAAGATGGCATATTGTATGTTCATATCACATTTTGCTCTGTTACATTTATCCTTTTGAAAAGCACTGACAATGTTAACAATAACAAAAGGTAGCTAAAACTGAAGTAATATGAGTACTAAAGAATGTCCATGATGCCAGCTGCCACCAGCAACCTTGTTGTTATCCTGATCCATGGTACAGTGGGCACCAGGGTGATGTCCATGATCCAAGCTTCCACCAAAACACATGGAGATGTCCTTGGTCCATACTGCTGCTAGACACCATGTTTGTGTCCTTGATCAGGGCCCCTCCCAAAGACCATGTTGATGTCCGTTATCCTAACTACCATCCAAACTATGCTGATGTCACTGATCTTTGCTGCTGCTGCATGTTGATGCCCATAGTTCCTGTTGCCACCAGAGACCATGTAATGTCCAGGGTACATACTGATTCTCTAAACCATGTTGATACCCTTGGTCCTTGCTACCAATGCAGAGGAGGTTGATTTTCCTGGTTCATGCTTCTTCCAGTAACTATGTTGATCTGACTGATCCTTGCTACTTCTATAATGATGTTGCTACTAGGATTCAAGGTGTCACACAAAACTATGTTGATGTCACTGGTCCCTGTTGCCTCTGTTAACAATGCTGATATCCATGATCCAACCTGTCATGCTGTCCCTAATGTTTCTGGAATCCATGTTGATGCCTGTGGTCCTTGTTGCCCCTGGATATGATGTTGAGGTCCAAGCTCTGTTCTACCAGCTGAGACCAAATTGATGCAGGAGTTCTTTGTTGCCAATATGAAGAATGTTGATTTATTTTATCCGAACTGTCATCTGAAATTAAGTTGATATCTAGGATCCATGCTGACAATGGCAACCATGTAGATGTCCCAAATCTTTGCTGCCTCAGTTAACCATGCTGATATACATGATCCAACCTACCATGCTATCCTTACTGATTCTGGAAGTCGTGTGGATGCCTGTGGTCCTTGTTGCTCCTGGAAATGATGTTGATAACCAAGATCTGTGCTGCCATGTGAGACCATGTTGATGGAAGTGTTCATTGCTGCCAACATGAAGAATGTTAATTTTCATGATTTATCCTACCATCACAAACTAAGTGGATATCCATATTTCATGCTGTCTACTACAACCGAGATGATGTCATTGATCCATGCTGCCTCTGTATAACATGATGTCCATGATCAAACATACCATGCTCTTCCTGTTGCTTCTGGAATCCATGCTGATGCCTGTGGTCCTCCTTAAAACTGAATACCATGTTAATTTTCTGGATCTCTCCTGCTACCTGTGACTATGGTAAAGTAAGTGTTGTGCATTGGCAACATGAAGGATGCTCATTTCTGTGATTTCACCTATAATCCAAACTATGTATAGATCCTTATTTCATACTGCAACCATGTTGATTTCAGTGACCATTGCTGCCTGTGTTAACCATGTTGTTGTCCACAAATGGACACATAATGCTATTGCTATTGCTTCTGGAAGCCATGATGATGACCTTGGACCATGTTACCACTGACTTAAATTTCCATGATCTCTTGCCATTGTGACCATATAAAGGAAGTTTTCTGTGTTGAATGTGAAGAATATTGCTTTCTGATACTTAACCCACCATTCAAAAGTAAGTTGATACCCAAACGATCTGCAACCATGTTGATATCATTCAGCCCTGCTACCTCTGTTTACCTTGTTGATGTCTATGAATGGACATACCTTACGGTTCCTAATACTTCAGGAAGCCATGTTGATCAAGTGGTCCTCATTACCATAGGATAATGTGTTTATTGCAATAACCTCTCCAGCCCTTATATTCATATTAAGATAATGGTTCTCTATTGCCAACATGAAGAATGTAAATTTCCAAGAAATGAAATACCCAGTGAAACTATGTTGTTATCCAGAAAACATACTGCCACCTCAACCAAGTTGATGTCATTGATCCTTGCTTTGTCTGTTAAACATGTGGATGTACATGAGCAGACCTACATGCTATCCTATTATTTCTGGAAGCCATGTTGAGCCAGGGTTTTTCTTGCCCATTGATCTGATGTTGAAGTCCATCATCTGTCCTGCCACCTGAGACCATGTTGATGCAAGAGTTCTGTGTTGCCAACGTGATGAATGTTAATTTCCCTGATCTCAACTACCGTATGAAGCTATGCTGCTATCCATTCTACATGCTGTCACCTGAAACCATGTGGATTTAATTGATCCCTACTGCCTCTGTTCACCATATGGATGTCCATGATCAGATGATAATGCTATTCCTACTACTTCTGGAAGCAGTGTTGATGCTCATGATCTTCTTACCACTGGACACCAGGTTGATTCTATGATCTCTCCTGCTACCTGTGACCAAGTCAAGGTAAGTGTTCCTTATTGCCAATGTGTAGAATCTTATTTCCCAAGATTTAACCAAGCATTGGTAAGTAAGCTGATACACATAATTCATGCTGTCGCCTGCACCTTGCTGCTGCCCCTGTTAACCCTGTTGATGTCCATCAATGGACCTCTAATGCATTCCTGTAATCCATGTTGATGCAAGTGGTCCTTGTTACCATGGGATAACATCTGGATGGCCATGACCTCTCTGGCCCTTTATGACCATATTAAGGTAATTGTTCTGTGCTGCCATCGTGAAGAATGTAAATTTCTAAGAACTGAAATACCAGCTGAAACTAAGTTGAAATCCAGAATGCATCCTGCCACCTCCCAACAAGTTGATGCCATTGATCCCTGCTGCCTTTGTTAAACATATGGATGTCCATGAGTGGACCTACCATGCTATTTCTACTATTTTGGAAGTCATGTTGATGAGGGTTCTTTCTTGCTCATGGATCTGATGTTGAAGTCTGTCATTCACCCTGTAAGCTGAGACCACGTAGATGCAAGAGTTCTGTGTTGCCAACATGAAGAATGTTAATTTTATGATCACAACTACCAGCAAAACCATGTTGCTATCCATTCTACATGATGCTGCCTGAAACCATGTGGATTTAATTGATCCTTGCTGTCTGTTAACCATTTGGATGTCCATGATCAGAACTACAAAGCTGCTACTTCTGGAAGCAATGTTGATGCTCATGTTCTTGTTACCACTGGACACCAGGTTGATTGTCATGATCTCTCCTGTTATGTGTGATCATATTAAGGTAAGTGTTCCCTTTTGGCAATGTGTAGAATGGTAATTCCCAAGATTTAACCACGTGTTGATAACTAAGCAGATATCCATAATTCATGCTGCCACCTGTACCCACACTGATGCCATTGATCCCTGCCTCTGTTAACCCTATTGATGTCTATGAATGGACCTCTCATGCATTCCTATTGGTTCAGTAATCCATGTTGATGCATATGGTCCATTTTACCACTGGATAGTGTCCTGATTGCTAAAAACTCTCTGTCCCCATATGACCATATTTGGGTAAGTGTTCTATGTTACAAATGTCAAGAATGTAAATTTCTAAGAATTGATCTACCAACTGAAACTAGTATGATCTCCGGAATGCATGCTGTCACCTCTGAACAAATTGATGTCATTGATCCCTGCCATGAAACATTTGGATGTCCAGGAGCTATCCTACGATGCTATTCCTACTATTTCTGGAAGCCATGTTGATGCCAGGGTTCTTTTTTGCCCATGGGTTTGATGTTGATTTTCATCATCTGTCCTGTTACCTGAGACCATGTTGATTCAAGAGTTCCATCTTGCCAATATGAAGAGTGTTGATTTCCCTACTGACAGCTACTAGCATCTTAAACTATGTTGCTGTCCATTCTACATGCTATCACCTGAAACCATGTGGTTTAATTGATCCCTGCTGCCTCTGTAAACCGTATGGATGTCCATGACTGGAACTAGAGTGCTATTCCTACTATTTCTGGAAGCAGTGTGATACTCACTGTTTTCTAAACCATTGGATACCAGGTGGATTTCCATGATCTCTCCTGCTATGAGTGACCATGTTAAGGTAAGTGTTCCTTGTTGCCAGTGTATAGAATGGTAATTCCCAAGATTTAACAAGCAGTGGTAACTAAGCTGATATCCATAATTCGTGCTGCCACTTCCTACCATGCTGCTGCCGTTGATCCCTGCTGCCTCTGTTAACCTGCTGATGTCCATCAATGGACCTCCCATGCATTCCTATTGGTTCTAAAGCCATGTTGATGCATGTGGTCCTTGTTTCCATGGGAGAACATCTTGATGGCCATGACCTCTCCTTTTCCTTAGGACCATCTTAAGGTAAATATTATTTGTTTACAATGTGAAGAGTTTAAGTTTCCAAGAATTGAAATATCAGCTGAAACTAAGTTGATATTGGAATGCATGCTGCCATCTCGAACAAGTTGATGTCTTCTATCCTTGCTGTGTCTGTTAAACATTTGGATGACCATGAGCAGACCTATCATGCTATTCCTATTATTTCTGGAAGCCATGTTAATTCCAGGATTCATTCTTGCCCATGGATCTGATATTGATGTCCATCATCTGTCCTGTTACCTGAGACCATGTTGATGCGAGAGTTCTGTGTTGCCAACGTGAAGAATGTTAATTGCCCTGATCTCAGCTACCATCTAAACTATGTTTCTGTCCATTCTACATACTGCCACTTGTGATCATGAGGATTTAATCGATCCCTGCTGCCTCTGTTAACCATATGGATGTCCATGATCAGAACTAGAGTGCTATTCCTACTACTTCTGGAAGCAATGCGATACTCAGGATCTTCTTACCACTGGACACCAGGTTGATTTTTATGATCACTCCTGCTACTAGTCACCACCTTAAGGTTCCTTGTTACCAATGTGTAGAATGGTAATTTCCAAGACTAACCAACTGTTGGTAACTAAGTTGATATGCATAATTCATGCTGCCACCTGCCCCCATGCTGATGTCATTGATTAGTGCTGCCTCTGCAAACCCTGTTGATATTAATGAAGGGATCTCCCATGCATTCTTATTGCTTCTGCAAGCCATTTTGATGCATGTGGTCCTTTTTACAATGGGATAACATCTTGATTGCCATGAATTCTCCACCCCTATGACTGTATTAAGGTAAGTGTTCTCTGTTGCCAATGTGAAGAATGTAATTTCCAAGAATTGAAATACCAACTGAAACTAGTATGATATCCTGAATACATGCTGCTACCTCCACACAAGTTGATGTCATTGATCCCTGCTGACTCTGTTAATCATATGGATGTCCATGATCAGAACTACAAAGCTATTCCTACTGCTTCTGGAAGCGGTGTTGATGCTCATGATCTTCTTACCACTGGACACCAGGTTGATTTCCATGATCTCTCCTGCTACCAAGTCAAGGTAAGTGTTCCTTGTTGCCAATGTGTAGAATGGTAATTCCCAAGACTTAATGAACCTTTGATAACTTAGCAGATATTCATAATTCATGCTGCCACCTGCACCCATGCTGATGCCATTGATCCCTGATGCCTCTGTTAACCCTGTTAATGTCTATGAATGGACTCTCATGCATTCCTGTTGGTTCTAAAGCCATGTTGATGTATGTAGTCCTTGTTTCCATGGGATAATATTTTGATTGCCTTGACCTCTCTGGCCCCTTATAACCATATTAATGTAAGTGTTCTGTGTTGCCAACATGAGGAATGTAAATTTCCAAGAACAGAAATACAAACCAAAACTAAGTTGATATCCAGAATGCATGCTGTCACCTCTAAACATGTTGATGTCATTGATCCCTCTGCTGCCTCTAGTAACCATTTTGATGTCCAGGAACAGACCTCCCATGGTATTTCTAGCATTTCTGGAAGCCATGTCGATGACTGTGGTCCTTCTGGCCCCTATATTCCATAAAGATTTCCTTGATATCTCTTGCCAACTTTGACAATGTTAATTAAGTGTTCTGTGCTGTCAATGTAAAGAACATAAATTTCCAAGAACTCAACATCCAACCGAAACTAAGTTGATATCCAGAATGCATGGTGCCACCTCCAAACATGTTGAAGTCATTGATCCCTCCTGCCTCTATTAGACACGTTGATGTTTATGATTGGAATTATAGTGATATTCCTATCACATTTGGAATCCACGATGATGCCCATTGTTTTTGTACCAGTAGATACCATTTTGATTCCCATGATCTCTCCTGCTGTCTTTGACCTTGTTAAATTATGTATTCTGTGCTGCCAACATGAAGAATGTTAAGTTCCAAGATTTAACCATTGAAATGTTAATTTCCAAGATTTCATCAATCTTGAAAACTAATTTTATATCAACAATTCCTGGTGTCACCTGCATCCATGGTCATTTTATTGATTCCTGCTGCCTCTGTTAACCATGTTGATGTCTATGATCAGAACTTCCATGGTATTCCTATTGGTTCCAGAAGCCATGTTGATGCCCATCATGCCACTTGTTACCACTGGAAAACATCTTGATATGGATGACCTGTCTGGACACTTGTGACTATATTAAGGTAAATGTTCTGTGTTACCAGTGTGAACAATGTAAATTTGCAAGAATTAAACTACCATCTGAAACTAAGTTAATACCCATAGTTCATGCTGCTGCCCGCAGACAAGTTGATGCCAGTGTTCCCTGCGGCCTCCGTTAAACATTTTGATATCCACGATCGGATAGTCCATGGTGTTCCTACTATTTCTGGGATCCATGTCAATGCCTGTGGTCCTTCTTACTCCTCGATAGGAAGTTTATGCCCATCTTTCCTGCCATTTTATTGCTAATGAGAAAAATGTCAATTTTCAAAATTTAATCTACAATCTGAAAATAAGTTGATATCCATGTTTCATGCTGCCACCTGCAACCACATTGATGTCATTGATCCCACATGCCTCTGTTAACCAGATTGATGTCCAACATAGGACCTACCATGCTATTCCCACTATTTCTGGAAGCCATGTTGATGCCTGTGGTCCTTCCTACCACTGCATACATTGTTGATTTCCAAGATCTCTCCTCTCCTTGTGACCACATTAATGTAAGTGTCTTTGTTGTCAATATGCAAATTAATTTCCAAGATTTAACCCACCATCCAAAAGTAAGATGAAATCCATAATTCATGATGTCACCTGAAACCATGTTTGATCCCAAGTGCCTCTGTTAATCAAATGGATGTCCATTATGGGATGGACCTACTATGCTATTCCTACTATTTCTGGAAGCCTTGTTGATGCTTGTGATCTTTCTTACCCATGGATATGACATTGATGTCCATCAACTCTTCTGTCACCTGAGACCATGTTGATGCAAGAGTTCTGTGTTGCCATCATGATGAGTGTTAATTTCTGTGATCTCAGCTACCATCTGAACTATGTTGATATCGATAGTACATGCTGCCACCTGTAACTTCATTGATGTTCCTGCTGCCTGCTGCCTCCTTTTCCATGTTGATGTCTATCATGAGCCTTACCATGCCATTCCTGTTGGTTTGAAGGCCATGTTGATGCCTTGTGTTACATTTTGCTCTTGGATAAGATGCTGATGTTGATGGTCTGTTCTGCCACCTAAGACCATGCTGAGGTAAGTTTTCTGTGTTGCCAACATGAAGAATATTGATTTCTATGAGTTGCCCTATGGTCTGAACCTAAGTTGATATCTGTAATTCATTCTGTCCTTGAACCATGTTGATATCACTGATCCTTGCTCCTTTGTTCATCATGTTGATTACCACGATCTGACCGACCGTGCTATCCCTACTGCTTCTGGAAGCTGTGGATGCCTGTGGTCCCCGGTGCCCTTGATGTCAATGTTCAGTCCTGACTCCTGAATCCATGCTGAGGTAAATGTTTTTGTTGCCAATGTGAAGTATGTTCTTCTCCTTGATCTAACCTACTATCTAATACTAAGTTGTACCTCATCACCCGTGCTTCTGCAGACCACCATATTGATGTCACTGATCCTTGCTGCATGTTTTAACTATGGTGATATCCATGATCCAACCCTCCATTCAAAACTTTGGTGATGTCACAGATCCTTCTGACTTCTGGTAAGCATGTTGATGTCCCTGTAAAATGTGCCACCAGAGGCTACGCTGCCACTGGTAACCGTGCATCTAGTCTCTCTTTGTGCTGGACACCATGTCATTTCCATGATCTGTGGTGGTATTGTGTTCTTCAAAATATTGTGCACCCTAATAAACTTATCTGGGGTCAGAGACAGAACAGCCACTGGATACAAAGGCTAGAAAATGGTGGCACTCATGCCTTTAATCCTAGCATTCCAGAGACAGAAATCCCTCTGGATCTCTGTGAGTTCAAGGCCACATTGGAAACAGCCAGGCATGGTGACACACGCCTTTAATTCCAAGAAGTGAGCCTTTAATCCCAGGGAGTGATGGCAAAAACAGAAAGATATATAAGGCTTCCAGAAACTAGAAGCATTTGGCTGGTTAAGCTTTCAGGCTTTGGAGCAGCAGTTCAGCTGAGATTCATTCTGGATGAGGGCTCAGAGGTATCCAGTCTGAGGAACCAGGATCAGCTGAGGAACTAGCAAGGTGAGATTGGCTGTGACCTGTTCTGCTTCTCTGATCTTCCAGCATTCACCCCAATAGCTGGCCTCAGGTTTGTTTTTATTAATAAGAACTTTTAAGATTCATGCTACAATGACCCTTCTCACTCCGTAAGCTACATTGATACTCTTTGTCTTTGCTGCACTAGAGACCATGTGGTTGTCCTTGTTCCATCCTGACACCAGCAACCATGCTGTCCCTCCTCTGTGCTGCCGCTGTTAACCATGTTGGTGTCTGGGGTTTGATCTGCCCCCCAGGCTGTGTTGACATCGCTGATTTGTACTGTCACTGGCGAACATTTTGACATCTCTGATCCTTGCTGCCTGTTAGCTATGTTGCTAGCCCATGATCTGCCCTACCACTCAATCCCTGCTGTTTCCGGAAGCCACGGTGATGCCTGTGGTCCTTGTTGCCCCTGGATACGATGTTGATGTCCATGTTCTGTCCTGCCACCTGAGACCACACTGAGGTAAGTATTCTGTGCTGCCAACATGAATAATATTGATTTCCTTGATCCCACATGCCATCCAGAACTAATTTGATACTCTTGATGCATGCCGCTGCAGGAAATCATGTTGATGTCACTGTTCCTTGCTGCATCTTCTAACCACGTTGATCCAACCTACCGTCCAAAACTTTGTTGATGTTACCGATCTGTTGACATCTGTGTTCTGTGCTGCCACCCAAAACCACGCTGGTGTTCATGGTCTGGACTGCATGTTGAAGACCAGTTGGATATCCATGACTCAGATTCTGATGGAGACTGTGTTGTCATCTGTGGTCAGTACTGCCACAAGAAGGCATCCTGGTGTTAGTGATCAGTGATGCCTCCCGCAAACATGTTATGTTGGTGATCTGTGTCGAAGTTAGGGACCAGATGGATGTCAGTTATCCAAGCTGTCACCAGAAATCTTGAGGACCATGACCTGTGCTGCTGCTGGAAAGCATGTGGACGTCCGTGATCTGTACTGCCACTGACATTTCTTGTCAAAGAAGCTTCTTTTGTAGTAGTATCCATGGCTGCAGAATCATAACTGAAACGACGACATCGAAGGCTTCTGTGCCACCCTCTCCAAAAGAAACACTCTAGACAGGACCTTACTGAAGAGAGCCCTTGAAAATTGTAATAAAGATGCTTAATTGTAGCTCTTCACAGTTTTGGCTTCAGGTGGGGGCTTGGGGAAGGACTCCTTTTTAAGTGGCTGGCCACTGCAAGTTTGACCACGCTCCAATGAGTATATGGGCAACACATATTTGACTTGTTGTAGTGTATTTTTTCTATTCTGGGGGAGAATGGCACAAGGGAGGAATACGAAGCAAGTGTGATTGAGGTGTGTTGTATGAAATTTTCAAATAATTAAAATAATATTTTGGGAAAATAAAAACTGCATCAAATAGTATGCATGTTAAATTTGGCCTACAATTGATTCCTGACGTGAACTAAATGACTTGAACCACAGCCTAACTACCTAGCATTGTTGTAGTGCTGTAAAGAGACACCATGATCAGAGAAGCCATTACAAGAGAAAGCATTTGATCAGGGGCTTGTTTTCAGTGTCAGAGGTTTGGCCCATCATCATCGTGGCACAAAGCATGGTGGCATGCCGGCAGACTCTGGAGCAGTAGTTGAAACTACATGCTGACCCATACATAGGCAGAGAGAGAAAAGACTTGGGACTTGGCATGGGCTTTTGAAAACCCTCAGTGACGCATTTCCTCCTGCAAGGCCCTGTTGCCTAACCCTTACAATCCCCTCAATAATGCCACTCCTTGATGACTAAGCATTCAAGTATATGAGCCTGGGGGGGGGGGATATTCTTATTGAAACCGCCACATTATCTAACGAGTAGCTTTTAAAATATTTTTTATTCTTTGAAGAGCTTATCCATCCAGACAATATATTTTGATTATATCCATTGACCGGTTCATCCCTTCAACTCCCTGGAGAGGTCCCCAGTGTCTGTTTTTGTTGTTAATGATCCTCTGAGTCCACTTAGTGTTGCTCATGTGCCCATGTGTGTGAGTCCACCTACTGGAGCATGAACAACCTTCCAGCGGCCATTTCTGCAAAAGGAGTGACTTGTCCTTGAATGGCCTCTTCCTGCATTCATTCACAGATGGATGAACCTACCTTAAACTGCTACACAACGTTTCTGTGAAGTTCTAGTGGCCTGTCAGGTTGTTTGCTTCATTTTGTCTTTTGTTGCCTCAACTACTCTTCAGTCTTTGAAGGCACTGAAAGACTTGCAGATGTGCCATTGGTTTGTATTGGTTATCTTTTAATCTGAGTCAAAGGTCAATAGTTAGACTTCCATAGACTAAAAGTTTGTCTTTGAAAGGTTGCTACCTGGTGTTCCAGTCTACATAAAGTGACTTTCCAGTAAGTGTGTGTTCAGGGCATATTTATTGAATGAGTTAGTCACATGGTGCTTATAGGGAACAGGGTCAGTTTTCTTAGAAATGTCCAGAGGCAAAAGACCAAGTTGTTGGTTGTTATGTTACTCTTTGGGTTCTTTACCTCTTTTAGGGGTCTACCACCCAGCTCCCAAATAAATCATACACAGGGAGGCTTAATTCTTACTTATAAATGCCCAGCCTTAGCTTGGCTTGTTTCTAGCCAGCTGTCCTTAACAATTATCCCATCTACCTTTTGCTTCTGTGCTTTTTCCTTTTCTTACTCCTGTATATCTTACTATCTTTCTTACTCCGTGGCTGGCTGGGTGGTTGGCCCCTTCTTTTCTCATTCCTCTCTTTTTCTCCTATTTATTCTCTCTGCCTGCCAGCCCCACCTATCCTTTCCTCTGCCTTGCTATTGGTTGTTCAGCTCTTTATTAGGCCAATCAGGTGTTTTAGACAGACACAGTAACACAGCTTCACACAGTGAAACAAATGCAACATGAAGAATGCAACACATCTTTGCATCATTAAACAAATGTTCCACAACACAAATGAATGTAACACATCTTAAAATAATCTATAACAGATCTATCTGGGGGAGGACAGAAAGCATAGAACAGAGCACTCACTGTGCGTGTGCCTGTAATTCTAGCCCTGAAAGGTTAGAGGCTACAGGGTCAGGAGTTCAAGGCTAGCCTGGGCTACATGAGACCATCTCAGAAATCAGGCATGGGGAGGGAGGTAGAAAGGAAAAGGGAAAGAAATGTAGAAATGCTCTACACAAAATAAAAATATATCTCTCATTGATTGCTGAGACCGATGAGTAATTTTTATGGTTAGCCGGGCGGTGGTGGCGCATGCCTTTAATCCCAGCACTCGGGAAGCAGAGCCAGGTGGATCTTTGTGAGTTCGAGGCCAGCCTGGTCTACAAAGCAAGTTCCAGGAAAGACACAAAGCTACACAGAGAAAACCTGTCTCAAAAAACCAAAACAAACAAACAAACAAACAAACAAAAAACTAGGGTGTTTACATATTTGGCTTAAATCCTTTTTAAAATTATATATATATAATTTTACATTCTGGCTGCAGTTTCCCTTCTCTCCTCCCAGTCCCTCCCTCCTTTCCCTTTCTGTTCCCACCCCTAATCCCCTCCTCTGTTTCTTTTTAGGAAAGGGCAGGTCTCCCATGAGTATCAATGAAACATGGTATATCAAGTTGCAGTAAGACTAAGCACTTCCCCATGTAGTAAGACTGGGCAAGGCCACCCAGCATAAGGAATAGGGTCCCAAAAGCCAGCAACAGAGTTGGAGACAGCCCCTGCTCCCACTGTTAGGAGCCCCACAAGAGGAGCAAGCTACACAACTAACATCTTTGCAGAGTTTCTAGGTCAGTCCCACACAGGCTCCCTGGTTGTCCGTTCAGCCTCTGCGCCCCTATGAGCCCAGGCTAGCTGATTCTGTGAGTTTTCTTGTGGTGTCCTTGACCCCTCTGGCTCCTACAATCCCTCCTCCTCCTCCGCAAGATTCCCCAAACTCCACCTAATGTCCGGCTGAAGGTCTGCATCTGTCTATCAGTTGCTGGATGATGCCTCTCTCGTGACGATTGGACTGGGCACCAGTCTGGTCACAGGCGACGGCCAGTTCAGGCTGTGTATCCACTATTGCTAGGAGTCTAGGCTGGGGTCCCCCCTGTAGATTCCTGGGAGATTCCCTTGTGCCAGGTTTTTACCTGACCCTGAAATGCCACCCCTTTCCAGTAGTCTTATCAGTACTCTCAACCTTCTGTCGCTCTCTCCTCCACCAACCAACCTGATCACTCATGTTCCGATCCAGATTTTTTTTTTAAATGTAACTAAATTAAATCCTGCAAGGGATTTGAAGGGACCTGTAATAAGAAACAAGCTATGGTAAGAATCTGAAATAAAGAACGGGGACAAGAGGATGTGGAGACAATTTGAAATCAAGATTATTTTCTCGTTTTCTAGTGCTGTGTGATAAATAGCCCCCTGTGTTCCTTCCAGGGCTCAGGGGTTGGCTGAGCTCACCTGGACCTTGTCTATGCAGTCACAGGATGAGCCAAGGTGCAAGAAGAGAACTCAGGCCTCACAGTTCAGTGGTAAGAGTGTTGATGTCACATTGTAAGAATCGTGTGTGGAATGGATACGTAGAGGCAGCTGTCTTTGGAAATACAGTCTGCTACCCCACAAGGAGGAAAAGAAAACAAATATGCCTCCTCCTCGGCTGGGTTTTTGTAAAGTTTCATGTAAACCTGCCTCCCACAAGCACACGCCCTCAGGAACCTTATCAACCTTATTTTTCTCCAGCTTGCATGAGCCATTTTTACCCTCACACCAATAGGCATTAAATAATTGAGCATCCTTGAACTACTGCAGCCAAAAGAGCTATTTACTCATAGGACACAGGAAAGATGTCACACTGTATCCGTGTTTCAAACGGAAAGGACTGGGTCTAACGAATGCAATTTAAGCATGATCAGGAATTGCTCATTCTCTCCAAAAAAGGGATGTATGCAACTTCTGTTTGCTGGCATTCAGTCTTACCTGTGAATGGGAATATGGACTTGTCTATAGCTGAGCTTTGCCACAGTCAACAACAGTGCCCTGGGGGATGCAAGGTCCAGGAATGAAGGAAGGAACTTGAATCCCTGCATGACCGAGCAGAGTCATTCCAATCCCCTGGACTCTACACTCCAGACTTGCGTGAGGGTGACATCAACTGCCATTATTTATCCTTGCCTCCTGGAGCCTCTTTGTTACGGCAGTTCCACATTTATGTCAGCAAAAGATCTCCACCGTGGCTGCATGAATAACTCTACATTTTTGAAATAGCAAAACAACTACCCATCTAGCTTCAGACTTGATCACCTTTTTTCAATACTTAGTTTTTTCCAAGATGCTTTGCTTTGGAGGTTTGGTTGTAAATACATTTTAATGAAAACACTCACATAAAAATGGCTTGCAGGTTTTGATCAGAAGCTGCTGTGGTATCAGGCTTTTGCCTGCTCCACACACTTCAGATGCCACGACGCTGCCACTTTGTAGACATGCTTTTGAGGCACCAAAACCACTTTCTCCTCTATTGAAAGTTTTGTGGCAGCTCCAGGGGCACCCTCCCCGTGTGTGTGAGTGTGTGAGTGTGTGTCTGTGTGAGTGTGAGTGTAGGTTCCTGTGGAAACCAAAGACATCAGATCCCCTTGGAGATGGGGTTGTAGATTGTCAACACTCAATGACAGTGACTGATGTGGGTGCTGGAGACTGAATTTGAACTCGGGTCCTCTACTAGAGCAGTTTACCTTTAATCAGTGAGCCATCCCTTTAGTGCCTGGCCTGGCTCCTTAGCAAGGGTTGAACCAGTTTGAGTTTTGCATTCCCTGGAGTGACGGATACTCTTAGGGAACCAAGGAGTGTGTGCTTTTTCTAATCCAAGCATCTTCGTTTTTCCTTTTTCCAGTAGAGACATCTGTGGGGGCTTCTTGTTCTGATCCGAGTGTGGATTGGGGAGGTGATGCGGATCCTGATCCTGTTCCTCATGGTCTCCTCCCTCCTGCCTTCCCCCATGAGAAATGAGCCCGGGATTGGCCCTTAGCAGGGCCTTTTCCTCCTAGCCACCCTGTCCACTGGAAAGGAAGCAGCCCTCACCAAAAAGAAATTTGGGGATAAGAAGGAGCTCAGAAAACACTCTCTCTCTCTCTCTCTCTCTCTCTCTCTCTCTCTCTCTCTCTCACACAC